GTCAGTATGTTCACCGTGACTTAGCAGCAAGAAACGTCCTCGTTGAAAGCGAGAACAGAGTAAAGATTGGAGATTTTGGTCTCACCAAAGCAATTGAAACCGATAAGGAGTATTACACTGTCAAAGATGACCTCGACAGCCCTGTGTTTTGGTAATAACATGTAACTTTATTTTCATTGACCAGACTGTGCAGTAGAATAACTTGTCTGCTCCCATGGACTTAGGCTTCCTGAAGATTTTTCCTGGTTCGATAAGAGCCCTACATACACATACAACAGCAGCCCAAGGAAGAGGCACGTGGTAGACTATACTAATCTACTGGTGCACCTTTTATTTCTTCCTGCACTTAATGATCCATTTTCCCTTTATTTTGTTTTTGGTTATTTTAGGTAGTTTCAGAGTGATTTGCTGTGTAACAGTTGTACCTAGTTCACTACTTATGTGGCATTCCAAGCCCTATGGCTACGTTAGGTTATATATGCAAATGCAGAGAGCACCTCTTCATTTAGCTTACTTTAAATGCATACAGGTTATGCACATGTGTGAGTAGATCTGTGCAGCCATGAAAAAAAATTTAACCAAGTCATGTTGTGTCTGTAGGTATGCTCCGGAATGCTTGCTGCAAAGTAAATTTTACATTGCCTCAGATGTCTGGTCATTTGGAGTGACGCTGTATGAACTACTTACTTACTGTGATTCAGAATCCAGTCCAATGGCAGTAAGTAGTTGTTTGAAGGAATTACTGTTAAAGTTGCTTAAATTAGTTTTGTTTTTTCCAAAAAAACAAATGGAAAGAATTTCTGTGTTACATAAGCAATCCTCATGGTTGTCTTTCACTAAAGACCCTGAACAAAGATAAGTTGTGGTGACTACGTGTCCTGGTGAGGAAACTTAATTTCACAGATTTTACTGTTTGTCATGTGTGTATATGGTGCACGTGGTCTGTATGATAAGCATCTACTGTTAATTTTCATTTAGAGATTAAAGTACCATCTTAACATCAAATCTGAATGGTGCGGATTAACACAGAGTAAGTGACGGCACAGCTGACTTTTGCTCTTCACACAGGAATTCTTGAAAATGATTGGTCCCACCCAAGGCCAGATGACTGTAGCACGGCTTGTTCGTGTGTTACAAGAAGAAAAGCGTTTGCCACGTCCGCCCAACTGCCCCGAAGAGGTAATTGTGCACCTAGACTTTTATAATGCTCTTCTCTTTCCTTTTATGCTAGATAAGCAACGAGAGAGCCACACATTCATGGCAAAATAGGCCTGATCGGTTGATTACTTTTTGTAGGAAATGCTTTAGGTTTGCTATTAGAAAGGTATTTGCACGGCTGGAACTACTGAGCAGCAGCAAGTCAGAAGGGAGGTAAGGAGCAGCCCTTGCCCAGCCCCCAGGAGCTCGTGGGCCTGAACCAGCGGGGCCTGCAAGATGAATTAGGCTGTCAGTCCCCGGCCCCTAGCCGACAGACACTTAGCTGGGTTAAACCGAGATTAATTAATTACCGAGGCGCCCAGTAGTAATTTTGACTAAACATGCACTCTTGAAAGTTGTTTTAAGCTACTGTTCACGCTACTGTTGCATCAGTCGTTTGCACTGTCAGACAAACCCATACCTTAATTTAAACAAAAAAAAAAGGTAGCAGGTAGTTGCTGATTCTGAGCACGGTTCTTGGCATGTTTCTCCTAGCTTCAATATTGTTCTTCATTTCATTGCAGTGAGAATCTGCTCCTGTATTTTCACTAGAGGGACAAAATACATGTTTCATTCATCCTTTAAAAAAAATGTTTTTTTTGTTAGGTTGACCAGCTGATGAGGAAGTGTTGGATATTCAAGCATGATGAACGGACCACCTTTCACAATCTGATTCAAGGATTTGAAACAATTATGAATAAAATATAATTCATTTTTTATACTGTCAGTACTTCAAATGAGTGTAAAAACATAAATGCCCAAGACCTTTCATTTTTTTACCTACTGTAGTTTGTACTCTGACTGTGCTAATGTATTTAAAAGTTTCTTTTTCCAACAGGTTTCCTTTTTTTTTTTTTTTTTTTTTTTTTTTTAGTCACCAGTTGGATCAAATTAATTAAATGACAGAAAAACATAGCTTCAACTCCTTTTGCTTCAGTTATTGCAAGACATTTTTATCTTTATTTGAGGAAGGTATCCACAATTTGAATGATCCTGGATGAATACAAACTGAAAGAACAGTCTCAAAAAAATGCTACAGTTCTCAGTGCATATAACTCATCTATGCAGTTTAAAACAAGCAAGCAAGTAAGTCTGCTGTTGACATATATTCCCTGAATACCTGAACCAGAGGGCATAAGAGAACGTGATACAGCAATTTAGTAGTTTTTAATGGGATCTTGAAGTTTTTTTAAAAAAAGTTCTGGCTGACAAATTTCTGCACTTAGTTTTCTTTTTAAACTTTTTACTAAAATTTAACTCAGGCACGAAAAAAAAGATAAAATAATCAAGCCTTCTACATTAAAAAAATTATTTGACTG